ATGGCGCGTCCCAGAACTGTCCATTTGAGCCTGGCAAGGGTAGGAACCTCAAACACCTCAAAATGGCTAAGGAGAATTTCTCATCGTGTTATCTAGCTGGTCTCCCCATTGAAGGGCACATTCATTCGCAGGAGGAATTTTTCTCAAAATACGATCCACTTCAAAATTTCCTTACCAATACGGCCACTTTTCCCCCCGAATGTTCGAAACGTTCTACCTTTTTTCGGGATTTTTTTTGAAAATCACCAGATTCTCTCCGAATAACTGCCGTCAAGGGTAAAGGAGGGGGAACGGGCATAGCGCCTGTGGAATGGGAAAACCTTCTGAGAAAAGTCTGCAAATAAAAACATTTGTCTGAAATGCCAATGCGACAGATTCGAAAGATTAGTCGCTGTACATCGAAAAATGTCTTTTCTGGACTCTTTTTGTGAAAGAGATTTCTGCTGACAGTAGATCTCGTCAACTGCGCCAGCAAGCCCGTATTAGCGGCATTCTTCCCTTCGGACAGGTTGGGTACAGCATCGTTGTGTGGAACACATGGGGAAGGGGTCGACTTTCCGCTGGCAGGGGGCCGTAATTAGTGGTCGCTGGGAAAAGGGGTCGTGTAAGGCTCTGAGAGAAAATGGCCGCGTTGGGAAAAAATTCGTCCCTTTTTGCTTTCGCGTAATCTTTTTTGTTTCATGTGTCCTCCCCGCTCGACGGAAAACAAATCTTCGGATGGAAAAACTGGAAAATGTGGGGTAACTGGTAGGAAGATGTTGGGGAAGGGGGAGGCATACCGACACCACCTTCACACATCGCTATGCCCTGCCTTCGGATAGTGAGAGCTCTTTCAATTTCATCACGCGCCCGCGAAGTAGCATCGTGTTCGGGGGTGCGTCGTGGAAAGCCAAAAGATCATTCACGTTGCATCACGTTGCATCACTGTTTACTAAACGAGTAGTGCTCAGTGATTATGCAAATTATGAGCTTGACGCGGCGAAGAGTGCAATTGGCTAAGTAGCGCAGAACCGGGGATCGCCGCATCTCCTAGGACTAGCGGATATTGCTGCAGCATCTCATTACCATGATTTTTCATCACTAGTGTGGGATTTATGGGCTGTGATCCCGCGAAAGACGTTTGGAAATCTTGGCAAAACCATCTTCCTCCGTTAGATGGGCGTTAAGAGCAGCGGAAATGTACTTCCACAAGGAACTTAGAGCTTAATAATGGGATGCCGTGCTCACAGCTGAGATTCTGTGACAGCTGAGACTCACAGCTTCCACTTAGTGGGAACGGAACAACTTCATCGTGAACCATAAAGAGAGGCGACGGCAAAGATGGCAGTGGTAATTAGGACATTTCGATAGCCTGAAGACCAGGGTAAGGATAAAGGATAAGGACTTCGCCGTATTAATCCCTTTATGGGATGCGGCACGCATTCTACTTCCATTCAGAATCGTAGTGGCTTATTGAATGCGATGTGGCCTATACAATGACTTGCGGGGCCAGCCGATGTACAAGTCAGTGTTTTATCCTCCCAGACGAATCTGGTACCAATTTACCGTCCCCAGAGGATACAAGGATTGGTTGGCCTGGGCGGAGCGTCGGGTTGATTCCCGAACCGTGGGTATGGTAAGCGTGCCACTTGCCACCACCCACCTCCGCCTCAGGAGAAGGATAGGCTGTGGAATTCAGGAAATTCAATCTCTCGGAGCACCTTCTTGCCTTCGAAGCGCCCACTTTAACCTAAAATTGCAAATTCACTCACCATCTTTCCTCTTTTCTACGTTTCCCTAGAGAAACCGTTGCCAGTCACTATAAGGGGGTGGGTCATAGTACGTCCTGGTGTCAATGAATATTTTCCAAAATACGATTTCCTTTACCCCCACCACCCCCGAAAAACCGTCAACTGGGGTAGGTCCTTTATTTATTTCCGTTCAAGAACCAGAAATACTCAAAAGAAGGAATCAGCGGAGTACAAAATGTTCCTTCAAGGCCGAACAACGCTCCAGTTTTATCATGCGAATCACTCTATAGTTTAAAGGCAGTTGGCACGCTGAATCCCTGAGACGAGTAGGATTAATACGCCTGGCAGGACGGAATTCCGCGGCTCTGAGCAGGCGCTGCGTAGCGCCTTTTCCCAAAGAAAGTAATCCTACAGGCCCTATCAAGCCACAACATACCGACCCGAACGCCCACCACGCCCGCCCGCCCACAAATGGACGACCGTACCTGACGCTCGTATTGCTTCATTTGCTAAGTAAAATATGAAGCGAAGGGATTGATATGAAGCGGCCGCGGTGCTGCATGGATATATGAGTACATACGTGCAGCCGTACCTACCGTAGCGGTTATTGGCAAGATGCCTACGGAAACTCGTCCGAAATTGCTTTTCGAGTCATTAAGAACGAAGGTTTTTCTTCGCAGGTTTTTGACCGTTTCACTTCGTTTTTTCGCCATTTTCTCACTATATAGCGCCCTGCTAGCATTTTAGGCCGATAACAAATTATCGTGCCAACTGCCTTTAAGAAACTTCTATCTGAAGACATTTCCATTCATCTTGAGAAACGTCAAACGTGACGGAATATGGGTTTTCCATATGCAATTATCTCATGATTACTTGCCGAGATCCGCTTATCCCTGCTGCCGCTCGAGAGCTGAAGCCCTGTAAAGAGAAGGCATGAGAGATACCCGTGATCGCTCCATCTGAAACTTAGGGTATCTGTTTACCACACACTAGCTCTCCCAAATTAATCATTTCCCGGACTTGAAAACGAGTGCGTATGAGGGAGTACGAAGTCAAAGTTGCCATGAATTTTATTGGTGTGTTTTCTTCAGAGGTATTTTCTTCGTTTTTGATCGACCTGAATATTTTTCCCATGGAGAAAACCAACGAGAGAAAACTTCTGGCGAGGTATTCGGGGATCAACGGGAGGGCATTGAACTAGGAAACTCCTCCTTGCACTATTTCCCTGCCAGCGAGATGAATCTGAATGAAGACGTCAGCCCTTATGCCTGGACGCAGACGAAAATCCTGTACACACCATATCCCGGAGATGGAGAGGGCGTGGCTGCGTATCGCGTTTGAACGTGGAGGCGGATGCGCTTTTGGTAGGACAACTACAGTAATTATTTCCTTATCAAAACAAAACATCGTGACAGTTGTCTGAAATGGATGTCCTCCACGGAAAACGCACCACTACGCCATGCTTAAATTAATGTACACAGACACGCCCTCTGCATCTTCGCGGTATGGGGGTGCTTGGAGCAGCAAAGCCTTCTGAAGGGGAAGGAAGCCATTGAGATATCGCTTCCAGACCAGGCAAAGGGCTGATGAAGGTGAATGGGTTAAGCGCAGCGCCAGCTCGTTTTTCATCAATTGTCGGAGCAAGCAAGCGACAACAACTGATGGAAAACGGCGTGGCGCCGCGCCAGACCCATCCCCTCTGACACGACCCAGCATCCTCAGCGAAAATAACTGTGCATTTGCCCGTGGAAAGAACCTTGGCTACGTTTTACTGGTCCTTCCTTTAGTTAGATAATTGCTATGCCAACGAATCTATGCGATGTGGACGTTGTACAGATGTGAATGTGCGTGTGTGTGAGTGCTAATGGGATGATTGAGTCACGTACCTTTTGATATGGCAAATACTCGGAAGCGTTTTGCCCACGAGTCAGGGCTTCATCTTCCTAGCGAGCCGGCGCGGCAATGGGGCGGCTGCGGCGGAGATTATCGGGCATCTTGTTATATAATCACGAGATAATCACATATGGAAAACTTACGTATCAATCACTCACCCCATTATCATCCATAGCGATGAGAGGGGTTGTCTGGAAATCCGCGTTGCACCTCAGGGTTCCATTTCCCTCAGGCTCAGCCCCCAAGATTGGCGAAATAGTAAAGGTTCGTTCAGGACAGACGCGAAATGAACCATTTTGCAATGAAAAGGTTTTTCAAAGCACTTGAATTCTTCTTTCAGACAAAAATCCTCCTCTCCACTGGAGGCGATGGGGATGCCATGTTTCCCCATCTTTGCGAACACTTTAAGCCAGATTCCACGCAAAATGGTTGGAAACCAAACAGGGCACTTCCCACGCTGGTGTTCCCCACGGCGGGTCGCATTTGGTAGCTGGAGGGGAGGAGATCGTGTTTGGCATGGATAAAAAAATTCCTGATTGTAGATTCCACGGGTTTCATATGCGCCATATCCACCCCGCTCTACCTTGCCCCGCCGAGAGGTGGGTGCCTATCCCCCCACTGGAAGGGGGACTTTTGGTGAAGTTTTGTGAGATGATCGGTTGATTCTGGAAGGGGGACGTACTGGACAGGAAAATTTTGGAGGGAAGGGATCGTATTTAGCAAAAATTTTCCCCATGGTCAAGATTGCACTGACTGCGCTATGGAGAAGCTCTAGGAGGACTTCTCGTGCAAAACTTGGATTTCCGTCGTGAAGAACCTCTTTTCATCCAAACTGGTCAATCCACCACACAGCTCCTACTTCCCCAGGGTCAGCTCTAGGATTGGCGAAATAGTAAGGACTCAACCGAAACAGGGGCGAAATTATCAATCTTCGCCGTAAAATCTTTTTTCCAGAGTACTTGTTGTCCTTGAAATCCCTTTGACCAAAATCTCATACCCATTATGGAAACCTCTGCTTTTCATGAGACCTCTATATGCTCCCCCACCCCCACCTTTCTCCTCCCCACTCCCGTAATGGACTAGCTCCTAGAAACAATCCAAATATTTTTCATGAAAACATGAGGCTCTGAAAAATAGTCGTCAGGAAGATCAGCTGAGGAAAGCCATGCTACTTCTTGACGGTTCAATGGACAAACATGGTGTCCATTGCCCAAGAGTGCGAGTTCTAACCCCTTCTGAGCGCAAACTGTTTCCCTTTCTTTCATCAGTATTTAATCACACTTTCATGATCGGTACTGCAGTATTGAAAGTTGACCTTTTCCTGAAAAACTTGCTTGAATTCTCTTTTTCAGCTCGGCAGGCAGTACGGCCCCACCATCGCCGCGATTGCAGCGATGCAGCGAGGACGGAACTCAAATGGATTCGCAATCGTCACAGGATCAATCGCCTCCACCACCACCACTTCTTGCGATTCCCTCGCTACTGTCACCGTACCCGGACTCGTCATCCCCTCCTCGGTCGAACTCCGTCGATCTGTCAACACTTCGAAGAGACATCGAACTGTTGTCGATCTCGTCCGGCGACAGCCCTTCAGAATCGGAATTTGAACCGCCGACACCGGCTGACAGCGTTAAGACTGTGAGGTCACGGAGTCACGAGCCAGGCAATGCAACATCAGTTCTCCGACGGCCAAGCAGGATCGAACATTTGTCGGAGCTGTTCAGGTGGCAGAAAGAACTTTTCGATTTTTTTTCTGTACTAGTATTGTACTATGACATGAGAAGCCTTTTATAATGTGACTGAATTGTTACCCTTAATTCTCTCCAAGCGAATCAATCAGGGATTTTTTTAATTGAGCATTTTTTCTTCATATATTCATAACTAATCTGATCCTGAATCTCTCAAATTTCCAGAAAGGCGCTTGCAAAATCCCCAGTGGTGAGGAGGACTGCTGTCGAACAGGAGCGAATGGTGAACAAGCACAGGACCAGCCGGTACTGGCTTGACGAGCAGGTTCGTTGAGCAAGAAGCTTTTTCGTGTCGGTTTGAATGCTAAAATTCAAAAGCACATCCTCCAGGTGGGTAGAAAGCTCAGCGGACCAAATGACACACATGCTCTATCTGTCAGACTTGCATAGCAAAAAGCCGAGATCACATGTGAACGTCTGAAATAGGCGTCAGTCCAGAATGGGTTAGAAAGCACGGCGCACTGTTCGTGTAAGCGGAAGTCAAGACCTACTACTGTGACTTCGACGGCACACACCTCCTTGCTATCGCGTTGAGAAATAGCTCAAACTGGTGAGACACATCCACATGAATGAGGAAAGCATCAGAACAGGCTTGACTCCGCCCATATGCTCAGCAGAAACTGTTCCTCTGAAGAATTTGGCAGTGGGAGAAGTACTCGATTTAACACTCAATGAAAGCTATCATAAATAAAAACTAAAGCTGAAACCGGACTTTTTTTGTCAAGCTGCCGAAATGGAGGATATGAGAGTTCATCAGAGTGCTGAAACTTGGATTTATAAGGGGAGAGGGAACGGTAAGAGTGAAATAAATAACACCAAAACAGTATGACGGGGCTTTTTTTTCTCCTTTTTTCTTTTTTCATGCCGTTAGTTTCTGCCAAAATGGGTCCTCAGATGTCACCCCCTCCACTTATGGTCCTTAGGGTAGTGGACGCGTTTGAATGTGCACAATGCCACACAAACTGAGCAGATCTTCAGACTTCGGCTCACAATGGCCCGGTTTTATCCTCCAAGGATCACTATGAGCAAGCAATGATCAGAATGTAATAGCCTAAGCAAGATTCGATCCATCAGGAAATGTAACAGGAAAAGGCGATTTCATCTAGTGCGTCACTTCCTGTCAAATTAGCTATGTTATGTCGAATGGTCTTAGCTTCCTTAGCTTCAGCTGATGATAAATGACTGCTTGGAGGGAACACCACTTTAACATGTCAGTGCTAAGGGGGAGTGGGGGGGGGGGGGGGTGACACAGAAAAATTCCGCTCATCGAGCGCTACTGCCTAGGTCCGCTCCGCACGATGACGGGGTCAGTCTTGCCTCAACCATCCTGTCTTCAGAACCCGTTAAACCAACTTGTGAAAGATCTGATCGGCGTTACTTATAGGCATATGGCACGACAATCGCGCCATACTTGGCTCTAAAGGCCTAGCGACGGCTGCTATATAGTGGCGTGAAATGGCAGAAAAAAACCGAAGGACAACGGCCAACGAACCTAGCGAAGAAAACGCTTCGTGCTTAATGAATCAAAAGCCACTTGTATGTACGAGTCTCGTAGGCATCTTTCGCCAAAGCCGTACGGCTAGCTGCGGCGCTACTAATATATTCCACGCAGCTCCGCGGGCCGTCGTCCGCTATGCAATAAATCGCTCGTTCGCCCTCATTTTGCCCCCTTAGCAACTGTATACAATGTTAACGGACTTTCCTCGTAAGAACAGCGCCCTACAGCGCCTTTCTCAGGGGCGCCGAATTCTGTCCTGCCAGGCGTATTAATCCTACTCGTTAGGGATATATCGTGCCAACTGCCTTTAAGTTCTTGGAAGCGCAGAGGGCAACCTCAGTGCTCACATATAATCCGATGAGGAGTTCCAGGCTATGTCCCGCTGGGAAAGCACCTTTTCTCCCTGCGAGGAAAAAATGCTTCTGATAAATTTAAGTTTCTCCCAACAACGAAGGGGAAAATCAGTCAAGTATTCAACGTACAGTAATCTCTAGGTCACAAATGGGGGTGTATCTGCTCTGCTCGCTCAGTAGCTTGGTCACTAAGGGGCAGTGAGTAGCACAGAGAGCTGGCCCATCCGTTATTCTCTAGGGAAAATTCGGGCGCTGTTCATTTTGAAGGGGCATTTGAAGGGTCTTCCGTTCAAGTTACAGACGTGTTTGGATGAGCGCCAAGCCTTTCATAGAAATTTGCAACAATGAGCCCTTCAGTTGCTCCCCTCTCAAGGCTTCCTGGCGTTACACAGACCTACAGTTCTAACCCCTCCTGAAACGTAGCGCCTTTCTAAGGTATAAACCTTCTGCATATTTGATAGCAGTACTCTTTTGTCTAGTATCAGAAGCAGAATGAACGGCTTGACTGTCCACAACCTCGTTCCTCCCCGGCCGAACTAACCAGTGACCTTTCTAGCACGGGTTCTCTTAAACCCTTGAGAAGAGATGGTGGGCCATTGAACCTGTATTCACTACTGAATTACTAGAGTGGAAGTAAGTCTACTACGAGAAGCTCGGAAGTACTCCTTAACAAGGAAAAGATATTTTTAGCCACTCCACGGCTATTTTCTGCCTAACAATTAGATTCCTAACAATTAGATTTCTATGCATGACTGAAAATCAGAGCTGGCAGCTCAATGAAACGAGTTGATGACGCATGTTGGGACTCGGAATCGCTAGGCTGCACCGATATAAGAGGTGTTCCAAACTCTAGGGGATAAATTTCAGGCCTACGAGTGCAAAGAGCACAGATTTCGGCGCTGTTCGGCGACGGAGGGGGGCATTTGTACTTCACTGCTTTACTAGTTCCGGTTCACAAGTTCCGCTCTGGTGAAACCTGTGAACTCTTGTGAAGCTGGAGCAAGCTCGTCTAGCCACCATGGTAAAACCCGTCAACTCTTGTCTTGCTCATGAAAGAGCTCTCTAGATGGCTCGGAGTGCAAAATGCCACCCCCCCACCACTGCGGAACCGCGCCCAAATTTTAGCACAGCAAGGCTATACTTAGAGAAGTTTGAAAATGACATTCGTCTCAAAGAACTTTGGAGGGGCATATAATCAATTCTTAGTGCAGAACGGTAAGTACTGTAATCAGAATGGATTTATCGTGCTCTGAATGAGTTGACCCGCCCAGGAGTTCTCCCTTTTTAAGCCTGGGTAAGTCCTCGTCTCATACGGCGCTTTTTGTTCCGCTCAAGGACTCACCCCTCCAAGGCTATTACTGCCTGAAAACTAAATGTAATTATAATGCCAAATCTGAAGGGACGTCGGTCGGAATAGTCTCGGAATAGTCTGTGAAAACCTTGCAAGTGTATGGGCTCTGCTTTGTTAATTTAAGTCCACATTCTGTGATGAATGGAGTAGTAAAGGAGTGGGCGAAGACTTATAGCCGTTGTGCCTTTCAGTGACCCCTGATGCATCCTACATATGTGTTCCTATGTATCTCATCAAAAGGGCGCCATTCCCCTCTTCTCCACCCATCCGATAATCTCAGAATCCTTCTTTGAAGAAATCGCCCTTGAATCATTTACTTGTAGCCTGCCTGATTTCAACAACTGATTTCAGATTCACCCAGCTGAACATATCTGGCTTCCATCCTCAGGACCTGGGTCATCGACATCTGTGGATTCAGAATGTTATGTCGGGGAGAAGGTTCTGTTTGAGAGGCTCTCATTGTGGAGTACAGGGAAAATGAGCATTCTCTTTCAGGATTGTCGCAAAACTGGCGAGAAACGTCGATGCGCTGCTTGCCATGTAGTAGCTCACACTTCGTGCTTTCCGCTTTTGGTTAAGGTAACAGTCTAGTTTTTCTGAGAGTTCATTTCTCTTTTCTTTCAGCTTATGTAGTCAAAATAGTTCCCATTTTGATCGCGGCAAGACCACTATCCAGTGGAGCTATATCACGTCTTGCCAGTTCTTCTGCACCTTCTCCAGAGAGCGCGTGACATGTTCTACAGCAGCTTAGTCAGAACAAGTCACTCTCTCCGTGCACCCTTCCCTAGCGTGACTTTGTCGCGTCAGTTCATGAAATGGACAAGGCTCGCTGGAGAGTTACCCCTTCTGAGGCACAGGCGCCCCAATACTTTCAAAAGACCTAGTTTGAACAGGCTGCTAGAGCGTTTCACCTTCTATTTCACCGCTTTTTTTGGCGTTATCCTTTATTACACTTGGTATGAACCATCTCACAGAAAACGTCTATCGTGAGACGGAAGGAACAATAAGTTCCCCGATGCCTACGAACTGTTTTCAGCTGAATCTGAACTGCAAAATTACGTTCCACGATCACACTGTAAGGAAGCAGATGCTCAAGGAATCGATCGATAGCCTCACAATGCATCATTGGGTGCATAAGGTGAGTCAAAATTCAACTCCACTATATTTTTATGCAACTCATTTATAGCTCCTCCATACCCCCTCCCCCCCTCGAAATCCTCACCGCCCTCGGCCCTAGATATGGGCGGCGATGGACCCATTACTGAGTCCCAATCGTTGTCGCGCTTCTCCTTTTGACCGCCCGCAAAAAAGAGCGCACCTTTGATGAAGGAACAAGGCCAGGCCTGACTCCGCCCATGCAGTTAGCGTGGAATGCATCCCACGAAACGTTGTAAGTCGTGTTTCGGACTACTTGCGCACTTACGTATCTTCCTGTGCTGCCGAAAACTATTCCCTTTTCCCCACACACATGACTAAGAAGGCGGACAAGGCGTAATGAATCCCAATTTATAATTTTTCAACAGTTCGTCTTATATTTTCGTTTATTTAAGTGGCGTCATGAAGGCCGATGCAGTCGATGCGGTAAATCTTTCCAGCAGAAAATGTTCAATTTTCAACAAAAGGAAAAGGTAAGAAAAATAGCTCAAGTGTTGGAATCATCGCTATTTAAGCCAATTTATTTTATTTACTCTACTTGGGCAGTGTAATCCTACAAGAAGCAACGTAATGTTAATGTTTAGGAAACGATGGCTGTCGCTTGCTCGTGGTGCAAAGAATCCTATCATTTGAAGCACTGCTTTAATCGCGAAAAACTCGAAGAAAGGTTAGAAAGTTCTCTCGACCTTACAGGCTGACATAAGAGACGTA